AAATCTATTTTAAGTCCTAGTATCTGTGTGTATATGAGCATGTGAGTCTGTGGGTGTGTTTATATATCTACTAGAAGCCCGGTGCACAAACACATGCACGGGTGGGGTCCCTTGACCTGACTGGTGATCAAGGTTACAGAAGGTTGGCTGGCTGGCCAGGGGGAGGGGCTGCAGGAGGTTGGCCAGTCAGCCCCACCCCCTATTAGGGTGGGAGGGGGGGTGATCAGTGGTGGGACTGGTTGGGAAGAGGGGCTACGGGCCCATTGGGGTGGGGCGGCCCATTGGGGGCAGGGCCAGCGGGAGGGGGGGAATGGCCAGAGAGGGGCGATTTGGTTGGCCACCCAGCGCTCGATCAGGGCAGGAGAGGCATTTCAGGGATGGGGCAGCTGGGGGGGAGGAGGGAGGGGCCAAGGGAGGTTCGCCTGCCAGCTCCACCCCCAGATCAGGCGGTTTGCTGGACACAGTGGGCATCACAGTGACCGGTCGTACAGCGTTCCAGTTGCTAGCTTTTTATATATACAGATACCCAGTGCATCTATATCCTTAGTGGAAATAAAGATTACTAATAGTTTCTAAAAATGTTAAATTTACTCCATTGAAAGCTGTGGAATAGTATAGCACACCAAACACCATTTTAGGATGAACTAAAATGTCCCCGTGGCATTAATGGAGAAAGACATCTTCCTAGGAAAGTGAAATTTACTCACACTAAAACAGTAAAAAGCTTAAATCAATAGGCTTAGGTAATAATAAATAGTTAAGGCTGAATGATGTCACCATGGATGGGATTCTTGACAACTAAAATCTATAGTATGCATAATCAAATCTGGAAATCCCAGGGGAAAGTCCATGTGGTTTTCTGTGCATGTTCTTTTATCTTTGGATTTTAGGTATGCAAACATGTCTCTTCTACAAAGTTTTTTATTTCAAAAATAAAGATTCTATTACATTATTGTTTCACTGCCCATAACACCTACCGCCTTTCTAGCAGGTGACAGGAATCTGTATTTTTTTAGCTTTAGACCATTAACTTAATAGTAAGTTCTTCCTCTTACCTATCACTTGAATGCTTTCAAACCACCCTCAGAGATCTCATCTCCAGTATCTTCCTCACAATCCTCTGAAGGAAGCTAAGAAGTGCTCCATGGAGGAGGTGCTGCCAGTGCCAGGCCTAACCTTTGTCTCAAACTCTTTCCACTGCCCCTGGCCGGGTAGCTCAGTTGGTTAGAGTGTTGTACCAATTTTCCAAGGTTGCAGGTTCAATCCCCGATCAGGTCACATACAAGCATCAACCAATGAATGTATAAATAAGTAAAACAACCACCAATTTCTCTCTGCCTCCTTTCCTCCCTCCCTCCTTTCCTCTCTCTCTCTAAAATAAGACCAAAAAAAACACACAAAAACCTCTTTCTACTACCTTACAAGGTACTCAACTTGAACTCAGGATGGCAGATTATTCAACCAGTAACTGTGAGTTTAGGAATCTGCAAGCCGTATCTTTTCAGGCATCCTAAGGATGCCCTCCACTCAGTAACCATCAGCCCAGTCTCGCTGCCCGCCCACTGCCCACCACTGCCACCGCCACCACCACCACCATCCTTGCCCTTGCCCCCGTCATTGACTTACTCAGCCATCCCACGCTGGGAGCACGCCGCACTCGAGGGTCATCGTCCAGGGTGCGGGTTGCTAGGCAGGGCACTGAGTTCTCAAGCGGGCTGCGGGCTTTAGTGTCAGAAGCAGAAGACAGGAGGAGGAGGAGGACACATGAAGCAGCCACAGCAAGGATGAGGATGGAGCATTAATTAAGAAGAAAAAATACTAAAGCAAATCACACAAACGGGTTAAAGGAGAATAATGACATATTACATTGACACACACCCCCTCCCATGACCCTGCATCCTTTGATGGAACAAATTCCAACACAGAAGGAAAACATTACATTCAATCATGACAGTTCCCCCGGTACCAGTGGATGATCCGCCCTGCAGGGCTAACACACAAAACATGGATTGGATCCGGAGAAGAGAGTCACATAATGAACACTAATCCAAGATGGAAGATCAAGACTGTTAGTAATTTTGCACCACCTAAGCGCACACACAGGGAAGGTCCGCACGGTTCTGTGAAGCACGGGAGCAGGGTATTGTATTAGTAAGCAGCTTTTTTCTGATCTGCCCAACAGACCCTTCTATGGTTCCTGTGCGCCAATGCAGAAAGCAAGAGTTCACACTTCCACTTCTGAAATATTGTCCCTGGTGAGTGGTTTGCAATTCTGAACTGGTTTGCAATTTCTTCTACCTAATGTTTTTCAGCCCTTCCAAAACATACGACTAGGAATAGCTAAATCAATACCTTAATACAAACCAAGTTAGGAATGCAAACTACTACTCCTTTTCCGGTGCCTTTTAATATTTACTTTACAAATACAATTAGGTGCACCCATGCCAAATTTTAGACCACATGCAAGACAGAATAATGATGCAGGCTAAATATATAGTATGGTTCCTCCAGGTAGTTTTCCTCAACTTCTGCCTGAAGATAGTTTCATTTGGGTTTCATGTTATCTATTGTACTATTCTATTCAAATGCCTCATTCCATGGCATGCCAACAAATAGGCAACATCATTACCCTTCCAGGAAGGACAATGAGGTTGGAAATATCTAACCATCACATTCCATACAATTCAACGTGAGTTTTCCCCCCTTAATAAGAAAGACAGTTGCTTAATGATCAAGGCACATTCAACTAAAATAAAAGATTAGATCATCTATTCACACAAGTATATATACGACAGGACAGACAAGTAGTCTTCTTAAGGCTATTTATTGGTGACTAGGGAGGTCAAGTTTTAAATGGAATCATTTACATAAGTTAATGTAATTTTATGGCCAAATTTGGGCACTCGGCACATTATAAAATCTAGAAACATTTTTGTCAATTTATCTGTCTATGTTTAAATGCTGTAAATAAAGCCAGCACTTGTGAGTGGACCATCTGTGCCAGCACCTGTTTGAGGCAAGTCTGATGTCTTCTCTTTGCAATCTGAAATTTTAATTGTTTCCCATAACTGAACTTCTTTGCAAGTTTTTATTGCACTAAGAAACATGATAAAGGGAAATGAACCAGTTGAGATTATTCCAAAATTGCTTTTGTCAAGAGAGAGGCATTCAGAAACATATATTATCATACTGACCAAGTTTCACCTCCTATTTCTTTGGACAACTGAGTGACCTGCTTCAAGAGCCATTATTCCTGCAGGCTTAGCTAAAGGCAATGAGAGAGGCTAGACAACTGCAGCCAGTGATCTAGGCCCAAGCAAGAACCTACTGAAATTCCAGGTCAGTGAGAATTAACAGAGGTTGGTAATGCAAAGTAAACTCAAAAGAACACTCTCATTCGTTAGCTTCTAATCAGCATATAGCTTACTGATGCCATGGCTTGCTCCAAAAGTAAGTAAAAGAAGTCAGCAGCCACTCCAAAATTCAGATGCTAATAATGAACTTTTCTCAGTAGCTTCTCTCTCCTCCACTGAATGTATCAATGCGTTATTTGTTGGGAATTAAAGCTGGAAAGTCCTTCTGCATAGACTATCTCCAGTGACACTAAACTTCACCATCAAGAAGACAGTGGAATAGAGCCTGCCACACACCAGGAAAGCACCTGGCTCCAAAGACTTCCATGAAAATGAAACTGCCCATAGAGACTTGGCACCTGTGTTTCAGCAAAGCTGACTGGAGCCCTCTGGCTGCTTACCATCATGAAAACAGGGGGGCTCACAGCATCCGTTACTTATATTGGCAAATTACAACATTTTGATTTGTCGGACCCTATGCGTACTTCTGGGCAGAAAGAGGCACAGACTCTATAACCCTTTCACGTTGCTCCTTTACTCTTCACAATTTTATTCCAAAGATAAAATTTGGAAGTTGTTCCCAAAGATGGAGCATAACTTTCTATGACTATACCATGGTAATATGTTATCAAACACCTTTTCCAAATCATGTTTTTATTGTACACTTAAGCTACAAAATAAACAATTTAGCTTTGCTTCTATCTTACATGTTCTGTTTTAAATCACCTTTGCCTGACTTCATGCATGAACAAGGTAGAAATTGGTTTATATGCTTGGGAATTGATAAGGAAAGATATACAGCTATGAAGATTTTTGAATGATGATTTCCAATATCTAGACCAGTGATGGCGAACCTATGACACGCGAACTCATTTTTTTGGTTGATTTTTCCTTGTTAAATGGCATTTAAATATATAAAATAAATATCAAAAATATAAGTCTTTGTTTTACTATGGTTGCAAATATCAAAAAATTTCTATATGTGACACGGCACCAGAGTTAAGTTAGGGTTTTTCAAAATGCTGACACGCCGAGCTCAAAAGGTTCGCCATCACTGGTCTAGACTATAGAAAAAGATGTTGTGAAGAGGACTTTTTTCTTGATGATTCATGTTTCCCTGGAGAATCAACTTATCTTAAACCATCAATCCCAAATCTGTTCAAGTGAGGAGGGTGTCCCTCATTGAATTATTCAAGTAGACCAAGAATCTACTCCATGAAAATTCTTTTTTGTCTTATAAGAAGAAAATAAATTTTACTTATGTTAATGTTTTAGGACTCCTTCAGGATTGCAATGTTGTATGATCAAATGGTTATTGAGCAACTACTATGCATTTCATACTGTTAGCCAAGAAAATTTAGCCCAAGAGCATAGCACAATTTCACCTGTGAACACATGAGACAGGTTATCTACAAATTTCCATTTGGAAAAATCAATGAAGACATCCAACTGCCATGTTTGGTATGTATTCCTACCAGAGCCCTCAACATCATAGGATCACACAAAGAGACTTGAACTCACTGATGTGTGGGAAATAAATTACATCTCAAGGAGCTCATGACCTGCTGTAGTTGCAGTAGCATATTGTTATTAAGCAACTGGGTTCCTCCATGTTGTATGCGTGAACATGTTATGTTACATTTCTGAGCTTCAGGTTTTTCATCTACAAATGGAGATAATGATATATACATTAGAGCCATCGTAGAGAACAATGCCTGGTATGTAATAGGTGCTCAGTTAATGGGAGGTGTTGTTATCATTGCTACCAGTACTATTATCATTGACAGAACAATGTCTTCTTTGTTCAACATCCAAAAGGGTGTTGGAAAACACTAAAGACTGGAAGCTACTTTAAATTTAAAATGTGATTCTTAAGAAATCAGGTTCACAAACCTGATAAGATCTCCTTTTTGTCCTTTGTATTTGTAATGAAACAGGGGTTGAGTAGAATAAGGTATGCTTAAATCATCTTGGAAGACTTTTATTTCCCCTTTTTTCTTTTGAGAAGACACAGTAAGGAGTCCACAGTGCCCACATCTCATGTCTTTATTTTGCCTTACCTCCTTTTCTCGTGTTTGCCTATCTTTCCTCTACTCCTCTCTACTCTCTTTCATAGAGACTAGGACCTGATCTCAGATCTACTCTTACTCTCATTTGCTCTTAGAACAAGATAAGGTTTGGGAAAACAAGACTTCATATGGGCAGCTCTACCAAGGACCTTAAGCCTTGAAAGAAGATTTATTCAGGGCTAACAGCAGCAAATCAGTGAAGAGCCAGTTACTTTACTTCATCACAGACCTTGGCTATGCAAAACAGACTGGCAATTAGTAACACTTTAAAATATGTTCATTTCATGGTAATATCCTGTTACACATATATTACTTATTGAGAGCTAAAAACTGTCATTGCTCAGACATACCGATCAATTTTCAAACTCTAAATTAAAAATATTATAAAGCTCATGTGTGATACCTCATTATGTATTACTAGAGG